CACATATATATACACACATACACACACACACACACAGAGTATCTCACAGAAGTGAGTACCCCCCCGTCACATTTTGTAAATATTTAAGTATATCTTTTCATGTGACAACACTGAAGAAATGACACTTGGCTACAATTTAAAGTAGTGAGTATATAACTTGTATAACAGTGTAAATGTGCTGTCTCCTCAAAATAATGCAACACACGGCCATTAATGTTTAAACCCCTGGCAACAAAAGCGAGTATACCCCTAAGTGATAATGTCCAAATGGGGCCCAAGTAGCCGTTTTCCCTTCCTCGTGTCATGTGACTCCATAGTGTTACAGGGTCTTAGGTGTGAAGGGGGAGCAGGTATGTTAAATTTGGTGTTATTGCTCTCACTCACTCATACTGGTCACTGAAAGTTCAACATGGCACCTCATGGCAATGAACTCTATGAGCATCTGAAAAAACTAAATGTTGCTCTACATAAAGATAGCCTAGGCTATTTTGGCTATCTAAGATTGCCAAAACCTTGAAACTGAGCTGCAGCACGATGGCCAAGACCATATAGCAGTTTAACAGGACTGGTTCCACTCAGAACAGGCCTCGCATGGTTGACCAAAGAAGTTGGGTGCCCGTGCTCAGCATCATATCCAGAGGTTGGTTTTGGGAAATAGACATATGAGTGCTGCCAGCATTGCTGCAGAGGTTGAAGGGGTGAGGTGTCAGCCTGTCAGTGCTCAGACTATACGCCACACGCTGCATCAAATTGGTTGTCTCAGAAGAAAGCCTCTTCGAAAGATGATACATAAGAAAGCCCACAAACAGTTTGCTGCAGATAAGCAGACTTAGGACACGGATTTCTGGAACCATGTCCTGTGGTCCGCTGAGACCAAGACATTGGACGTTAATGCAACAGATTAGTTGCTTACTTGGAGTATCTTCATTCAAAAAGAACTTTAGAAACAGTCTCATACCAATGAGCTTAAGAGAGGTGTTCGTGAGTTTGATGGGTTGCTGAAAAATCCTTGATGGGGAATTAGATATTCATCTGCATCCACAATATCCTCCATGTCTTCTTCTTCCATTAGACTCCTGTAAAATTTGGAATCTGTTGGGCTGGGCAGGTGCATTCTTTCATCTCCCTACTCAGAAACAAATTCCAATTAGGATGAATAACTGAACCTTCTATAACATTAAGTTTTATTACAACTTGAGTGTTAAAATATTACTCTAAAATATTCACCAACCAACAATAAAATATAAATTTAGACTGAGATGAAGAATGGTTCTATATTCTTGGGAAATACTATAAATTACTCTAAACATATAAGGTACTTTATCCAGCATTTGTTCACCATTATCTGAGAAGAAAAACCCTTAGACAATGACTCCAGAGAAAATATGGAACCCACCTGAAATGTTTTGATTCCATATACATTATTCAGATATTTAGCCAAAGCAGAAAATCCTGAATTTTCTACCTAAAGTTGTTTTTGTCTTATTTCTTTGGTAATAAAATTCTGTAGGGAATTGAGAGGTGCTTAGGGAGATTTATTCAGCTTATTCAATGTCTCTTTCTATATGAAAATAGCTTAAAATGGAATATTTTTCTCTCATTCTTAGTTTTAAAATAAAACTCCTTTTCCATAAATTTGAAATTATAATTTTCTTTGTATTTATTACATATCTGGATTGAACGTAATCTGTGACCCAAGAGTATGCAGCTTTTTAGATCAATATATGCCATTATAATATATTTCTTTCAAAGTATTCTTTAAGTTTAAGTTGGGATTACAAAGTGCTGATTTAGATAGTCAGAATCAGTCCAAGTGTATTGAATACAAAATATTGTTTAAAATGAAACTGACATATTTGTATCTTTGTTTTTAGATTTAGAAATGACTATTATTTTACTGATTTTTACTGACCTACTTAAAATTTCAAAACAGTTTGATACCACTTGTCCATTTAATTTTTAAAAAATTGGAGCACATTGTATCATTTTGCTTGAAAAAGTGAACACCATGTTATATTCATGCTCAGCACCTGTATGACGAGATAGCGTTGTGGATCTCGAGCCATTTTGGAGAATTCTGCTATTAACTCCCTGAATTTAGGACGACTCTCGGCATCAATCATCCAACCTGTGATAATAGGAACAACACAAACAAGTTATCGGGGAAATGGCCATAAAATGTTAAAGGACAGAATCATTTGCCAGGAAACAGGTAAATTATAAAAAAGACTGTAAATTATGTATCATAACACTGATTCTGAAACTATCATTATAAATACTCTATATAATAAAATTACAAGTGTTGAAAGAAAATCTGATGGCATATTACAGAGTCTTTGTATTTAGATTTCCCCTTCATGAATACATGAAAAAATTGGAAAAATTGAAATATCTTGAAGAGTTGGAATAATCTTTGCCTTTTCCCATTTCAGATTAGGGTGCAAAACATGGCAGAGAAAATCAGGAGAGAAAAAATAGAGATATGAACAGTGCCTACTTTCTTTGGGTTCCTGATGGCCCTTAAGATCTGGATCTGGGTCCAGAATTAAGTGTTCAGAGGACCTTCTGCTGCTGTTACTATTATGGCACTGTCTTATTTTTTTTAATAAAGTTTTATTGAGTTTTAACAAAACAAATAAAACATCTTATTTGAGTACAGCATGGTTCCGGGTTATCACATTTCTATACAGACACAATTTCATATGCATATTCATCTTATGTATTCAACTTCATATCTTATTACTCTTTTTCCAACTTCTCACTATTTCTCCCTTTACTTCTCTTAATTTTCTTTTATGGTTATCTCATTTTCTTCTTATTCAATTGTATTTCTTTTAGCTAAATTTCTGTATCTTTTTATTCATTGTACTTATAACTTTCGTCTGTCTTGTTTACAAATTTCATATGTTCTCTTCCAACAATCTTAAGAAGCAAATTTCCCCCTATGATTGCCAATCGAAGTGCAACACCTTTAAATCTTATTATTATCATATGAAATCTCATTAAACATTGAATTTGTGCATTCTAAAATTGTAACATTCAAATTTCTAATATCTATTTTATATCATGTAGATCTCATCATTCAGACTCTGCTTGGTACTTCCCCTTGAAAATGTAAAAAGAAAAATTCTAAAAACATAGCAAGAACAATATATATATATTCTGAGGTTCTCGTGGGTATTTGTATGTAGATCTTTGGTTATTTGGGTTTTCTCCCGCGTATGATTGGAAGTATCTAGGCAACGTTTCGATGAAGTCTCATTCATCATCTTCAGGCTTGTGTCTTCGGCTCTGTGCTTCTCAGAGTGATGTGAGCTTGCAGCTGCTTCTTCCTTTTAACTGCTAGTGGGGGTGTGACTTGATTGGGTGGGGGCTTGGCTGTGTTCTGATTGGGTGGGGGTGTGTTCTCATTGGTAGGGGGTTTGGCTGTGTTCTGATTGGTTGGGGGGTTGGCCGTGTTCTGATTGGCTGGAGGCGTGTTCTGTTCAGATGGGGGCTTGGTTGTGCTCAGGTTAGTCTTAGTTGCTGGGGGATTTGAGCTGGTGAGCTGTGATCCTGCTGTTCGGCTTCGAGTTCGTGGTCGTGCCACATCTTCATGGTGGGGGTCAATTCGCTTCATGTATGGCTCGGAGGGGTTTGAAGTGGGTAGTGATGCAGCTGCAGTGCGGCTTCTGGTCCGTGGTCGTGTCTCATCTTCTGTGTGGGTGTGAGTCTGCTTTTTACGTGGAAGTGTGGTGGTGGCATCTTGTGTGGCTCTCATGGGTGTGGGTCTGGTGTCATTCTTCATGTTAGGTACTGATCTGTTCATGAGGGCGGGTTTCCAAATGGCTGGTAGGCGGGAGGTGTCATCTCATTTATTCATGCTGTGTGGGCGTTTTTCTATCTCTATGGCTTCTCTGATTATTCTGTTGTTGAAGTGTTCGGTTTTGGCGATAGTTCTGGTATTTTTAAAGTCAATCTCATGTCCTGTGGCTTTGAGGTGTTGAACCAGGAAGAGGTCGGCTCTTCTTTTTTGATTGAGTTCTTATGTTCTTCAATGCGTGCACTTATTCTTCTGTTAGTTTGTCCAATGTATGTGGTGGGGCAGGCAGTGCAAGGGATTTCGTATATTCCTTGGTTTTCTAACTCGATTTTGTCCTTAGGGTTTCTTAGGATGGTGGATATCTTTCTGTTTGTGCAGAATGCTGTCTTAATGTTGTGTTTTTGGAGGATCTTGCTGATTTTGTCTGTAGTGCCTTTTATATATGGGAGGAGGGCTTTGCCGTTCTCTTGTTCTCTGTCTTGGATTTTGGTTGGGGTTTCTTTTTGGATTAGGTGGGTAATCTTCTTTCTTTGGAATCCATTGGCTGTTAGTACGTTGGTGAGAGTGTGTAGTTCGGTCTCTAGGTGTTGTTCGTCGGTTAAGCATTTTGTTCTGGAGATGAGTGTCTCGGCTACGGAATTGATCTGTGCTGGGTGGTGGTGTGAGAGTGCGTGTAGATAGCGGTTTGTATGTGTTTTCTTCTGGTAGATGGTGTGTCCTAGGGAGCCATTGGGTTTTTTGTATACCAAGACATCTAGGAAGGGAAGTTGATTGTTAGCTTCTGTTTCCATGGTGAATTGTATTTTGGGGTGTAGGCTGTTGAGGTGTGTGAGGAAGTTGTTCAGTTTTTCTTTCCCGTGTGGCCAGATTATGAAGGTGTCATCTACGTATCTGAGCCAGAGTTTGGGTTTGTGATCATATTTTTCTAGAGCTTGTGTTTCAAAGTGTTGAGACTTCATCGAAACGTTGCCTAGATACTTCCAATCATACGCGGGAGAAAACCCAAATAACCAAAGATATATATATATATATATATATATATATATATATATATATATATATATATATATACACACATACATACATACATACAAACACATACATACATACATACAAACACATACATACATACACACACACACACACACACATCACACACACACATACATACACATTAGTAAACAAAATCATTCTAGTACTGGTATGAACCTTGTAAATCTTTCATGTTTCTTTTCAATATCTATCAATCTTTGAGAACAATTGAAATGTTTCCCTCCCTTCTTCATTATTACTTAACTGTTAATAAGCATACCACTGGATAGTTATACAGTTTTATCTTATAAATTATTTACTATTAATAAGCAAAATAATTATTCAAATTCATTCTAATAACTGGTATAAATTTCCTTATAAATCTTTCACATTTCTTTTCAACATTTTATCAATCTTTAGAAACAATTGTAATGTTTCCCTCTCTTCTTTATTATTGCATTAATTATAAATAAACATATCATTACATAACAATACAGTTTTATCTCATAGATTATTTACTTATTTCATTTCTAACTCATTACAGTATTCTACTGTCACAACACTATCTTTTGTACCTTTGCAGAATCCTGACTTTTAACTTAATTTAACCATTGTCTCTGTGTTTTCTAGCTGAACAAATACCTTTAATCCTAGTACGTTTCCCCCTTTTCTTTATTTCCTGTTTTTGTCCCTCATAAGTTCTTTCCCTTTCTATCTTTCCCCCCTTTTTCTCATCCCTTTTTTAATACCCTTCTCTCTCTAATTTTCCCTTCTGTAGTTTTCTTTTCTGCTTCTCCTTGCTGTTATACTTCTTTTTCAGACTATTTTTCTTTTTGGCTGTTCCCTTTGATCTCAAACTTTTAACTCCTTTCCCCCTTTTCCCCCTTATTACCACACTTTGCATTATTTGATCATTGAAAATGGCTTCTTCTTTGTCCCGCCCTTCTTCTTGCTCTTGAAGCTTTTCCTTTTGCTTTTCATAGTTCAGGATCTCCATTTCAAAAAATTCAAAAGGATCTTCCTCCCCTTTCTGCATCTTCTTTCTGTTTTTTAAGACTCATCTTCAATTCCTCTGGGAGTGATGGCATTTTAAACACTTTTGAACAACCGCCCGATTGACTTTAAGTAAAAACAGAAAAAGAAAGAAAAAACCAATGCCAAAAACATTTTTTTAAATCACCAAAGGATCCCAGACTTGTTTCTTTCCTTTACTTTTCCTTTCTGTGGGTTACTGTATCTTTTAATAAGATTTGAGTTACAATGTATCCTTGGGAGTCTTTTCAAAGTTTCACTGTTAATCCTCTTTATTTTTCCAGGCGGCACTCCATTTTTCCATTATTCCAAGTCCCAGCCTTTTGCCTCCACTCTTCTCCTTTTTAGGGCTTTAAAATGACCAAGAAAAAATCTTTATTCTCCTTTTGACACTTAGATTTCATCTTAAGGTTGCCTATTAGTGTCAAAATAGATTAATATAAATTTTTTTCCATACCATTTGTAATTGTCAATATAAAGGTAAAAAAAAGGGTTTTTAACCTCCTTTTCTCTCTCCTTCGCCGCTTAAAGATCTTCTTTCAGAAGTATCCCTCTAGTACTTTTAGATTCAGGGTACTTTGCTTAGATGTTCTCTGTTGTTCAGCCCGGTCTGTCCTGCTTTCCTCTTTTTCTTCCTTCTGCACAATCTTATCCAGTCAGGTTCTTCTTTGAGGTGGCCATTTCTGACCACCACTGCAACCGCCTTCGGGGGAGTTTAGACCAGCCAAGGAGGAGAGATGCGGCTCCACTCCACTCGGCTAGCAATCTCCCCCCTCTTCATCACCTCTACGGGGTGGCTTCAGCCCTGAATCCAAAGGATCGGGGTGCTCCAGTGGCAAACACAAATCAAAATTATTTTTATTGTTTCCTTAGATTTTGTAAGCTGTGGCTATATATTCCTCCAGGAGAGCAATGCTGAACTAAGATGTCTTGGAATGAGCAGAGATTATGACCACAGCAAACACTGAACAACCAGAAGGTGGACCCAGGGAAGTTCCCTGGATAAAGAAAGTACGGGAGATTGCCCATTTGTGCTCTTGATGGCTACTCCTACAAACAGTTCTTTCACATGGTTTGAGTGCTGGGAGACAAAAGGAATTATAGCATGGCAGAGCCTTTTAAATGACATTAAGCTCACTTTCTAATCACTTTTGGAAATTATCTGAATAACTATTTAAGGATTTTAGAGATTTTCAAAATGACAAATTGAAAAGACAATAAAACAAGTTAGAACAAAATTTGTAGCACCATGATTTGATAAAGTATGTATGCTGCTATGCATACATTTAAAACAAAAATAATACAAAAAGGTAACCTATAAATGAAGCTTTGTGCTTTGATGTAGTCAATGGACTAGCTGTAATTTCAAGCATATCATAAACATTCATAAGTCCTATCTACCCATTGGTTTACACATCAACAACTGAAAGATTTAAATTATATAAAAAGAGTTATGGGTATGATTTCGTTAACATTGAATTGGAAATCTTACTGTGTGATAGTGATGAACATATGATTGCTATGATTTATAAAATGTTACTGAAATTAAATTTGAAAAGTGAACATGTAAAACATTGTATGATTCAGTGGGCAAGGAATTTTGGATATAATGTGATGTTTGAACAATGGAAAAATATGTGGACAAAAGATTTAAAATTTACAGTAAACTATAATTTAAAAGAACATTTCTATAAGATGATGTATTATTGGTATTTAACAGCTAATAAGTTATCTAGAATGTATAAAGGTATTTCAAATAAATGTTGGAAGTGTCATTTATGGTAGACATGTGATAAAGCAAAGAAATTTTGGAGTAAGAAGTGGTATTCAGCAGGTTCTGACCAGTTCAGGAAAACCGGTAGCGGAAATTTTGAGTAGTTCGGAGAACCAGCAGATACCACCTCTGACTAGAGATTTTACAGTATTCTTCCCCTGCTATGCCCACCAAGCCATGCCCACAGAACCGGTAGTAAAAAAATTTGAATCCCATCACTGGTAAGGTTCATATTTTAATACAGAAAATTCTTAAAGATGAAACAACAAACTTTTCTTTTGGATTTAATGGAAAAAGACTTGGAGAAAAAATTTGGAAGTTTGATCTTATGTATCAGCAGCAAGACTACTGTATGCACAAACATGGAAGGGCATTTCGATTCCCACCATGGATAAATGGCTACAGAAGCTGATGAGGCTGCAGAAATGACTAATTTGACCATTTTGATTAAAGAAAAGAATATAAGTACTTTTGTTGCCACATGTGTTGTTTGATATTAATGCTTTATTTTACTGAAACAGGAGAAGGAAGTCAACACTTTTTTTTTCTTTCTCCCGTCTGCCCTCACTTCTATTTCCCCTTCTCCTCCCCCCCCCACTGTGTCTTCTTATTTGCTTTTGTATTTTATATTTTATTGTATAATATAATAACATGTTTAAACAGCATAAATCCCATCCACCCAAAAGCTTTAATAGTTTATTGACAATATTAGTATCTTTTTTTTTCAGACTAAAGTTTTGCAAAGAACTAATAATCTTCATTTGAATTTCCAAAATGTATTTATTTATTGGTTCAGCTTTGAAAGTATCAGCAGACTAAATTGTCCAAAATTCAGAATGAAGTGTTTTTGTGCCACCTTGTGGGCTATTTGTAAATATTTTTAATTGTCTAGAAAGAATTATTACAGCTAGTCAGAATCCTAGTAAAATTCATATACAAAAAATCTTTTTTTTTCAATAAATTTTTTATTTTTATATTTTAAAAAACATCTCTTTTGGTTGTTCCAGGTTTTTACATTTCAATACAAACATGACTATAGTTACATATTCATCTTTTGTATTCCATTTTATATCATATTATTACTTATTCCATTTTCCTTTAAATATTCTCAAATATTCTTATAACAAGAATAAAAGGTATTAGTTTATTTAAAAGACACAGAGATAATGGTTAATAAGATAAACTAAAAGAGAGGATTCTGCAAGGGTACAAGAGATGGTGTAGTTATATCAGAGATAATAAGGTAAAAAATAGAAAATATAGGTGATCAAAGTGAAACATGAAACTGGTATTGTTAAGGAATGGAATATTTACTAATATTTAAATTAAATAAAGAGATAAATGGAATAAAAGTGAAAGAAGAGAAAATAAGAAGAAAATAGCAATTAAGGGTATTTTATTGAAATAAATTATGAGGATTATTGTAGAAGACTATATTAATTATGTTTAATGATCTACATAATATAATTGAAATGAATTGTGAAAGATCTGTAATGAAATCAATATCAGTTTTTAGGAGGAATCTGAATAGATTAACTATGTTATCTATTGTTTGTATTTTTTCCCCTTCTTTTTGAAATCTAAAGTGTATTGGGGGAATTTAAAGAGAAAGTACCAAGTGGAATCTGTTTGAAAAGAGATATATGATGTAAAATAGTTATTAGAAGTTGAATGTTATAATTGATTAAGGGGATACGGTATAAATCAAATGTTTAATGGAATTTGAAAGGGTAATAATTATAAGATATAAAGGTGACATACTCTATTGGGTAATTGTAGAGGAAACCTTGCTTTTTTTTCTTTCTCTTTCCGGGATGATGATGGAAAAAAAGAATATACAATGAAATGGTAAACAGGACAGATAAAAGTATAAGTATAATTACTATGAAGATATGGAAATTTGGAAAAGGATATGTAATAAAATTAGAAATGAATGAGAAGTTGTAAAATAAAGCAGAGGAAAGTAAATGAAGAAAAAATTAATGAAATCTATATAGTAGTGATAAGATATGAAATTGAATATAGAAAGATGAGTATATAATTAAGATTATATCTGTATGGAGATGTGATGACCTGGAAACGTTGTTCTCTAAAAAAGATGTTTTATTTTTTAATTTTTTTTTTTCAAAACCCAAATAAAATTTTTACAAAAAAAGAAAAATACAACTTTTGTATTTCTCTGCTTGAACATTTCAGTTAGGTGAATTGAACATATTTGATTGGTTGTGGCTGATATCTCATATCCACTGATGAATAACATCAGCATGTTCTTCAGTGTTAAAGGAACTCAACTGGTTTCCAAATTATTTCCAATCATAATTCAGATTTTCTATATATATCAAGCCTGTCTTTGGTCTCGGTACCTGAAGGATTGCTTTTTCTCTGTCCTTCCAACTGAGATAATAATTTACAGGTCTTTTTGATACATGCTGTGTTTTTACAATTTAGTTACTAGTTTCTAAAGAAACCAATATTACAGTGATGTGTACAGTTATTTTTCATACTTCGGCTATTCTGCATTTCCTACTATAGAAATACTGTAGATTTCTTAATTCTCTCATTATGATAGATACTGAATATTATTTTTTAAAATTATTCTTATTGAACAATTTTACCACTGGATCCTCCAGAACAATTTTGTATCACTGTAATTAACAATTTTGTAATACTGCGTAATAACACACCTCAAAGCAATCAATGTACATTGTAGTTTGATAGGGACTTAAATTTGGGTCCTCTTGTTCTAAACCAAATTTTCATTACTACGCATATTGTGTATCTTTGCAATTGGATAAATCAATTATTTTCCTTTTCAAGCTACTTTTTTTTTTGGGGGGGGGGGGGAGTTCTTTATTAATGGAAGTGGTTGATGAATGAATAACCAATTGTTCATAAGAACCATCAGCCTTCAGTTTGATAGCATTGTATATAGAGAATATGGAAGAATATGAATAAGATTAATCCACCTAAAACTATACATTTCTTTGTACAGAAGCAGAAGACAGGATTATGCCAGAAAGATTACAATATGTAAATTGTAACTATGGGCAAATGTTAGCTGTATTAGAAGAATGAATATTCTATTTAAAGCAAACAAGTCAAAGTAATTTGGCCTGTTAGATAAGAATGACTTACATTTGACCATGATCATATACACATCAATTGTACATATGGGGGGCTGAGGCAATCGCTCTCCTTTCTCCAAGACAGAGGAAATATCACTGGCTGGAATACCATCATATGGTTTAGATCCAAATGTCATTAATTCCCAAACAGTGACACCTGAAATGTAGAAAGTTGAAAGGCTCATCCAGTAAACTAGAAAGCCAAATACTAATAGCATGTAATAACTTTATTATTTGCTCAAGGAACAAGTTTCAGTGAATTGAAGACATTATTAATGATTTCAAGCACTAAGGGCTCATTACTATTTGTTTTCCAATCAACATGGAGGAAAAGTCTTTTTACAAATAATGAAATTATTTTCTAATGTTACATTTCACAAAAGTAAAACTGCTTTCAACACTATTCAAATTCTTTAAAGCATCACTTTATATCTGTACCCAATACATTCTTCTTTTGGGGGTAAATTTAGGTAGAAAAATCATAGACAAAAATACTTTTTATTTTTTATTTTATTTATTTATTTGATTTGTCAATCGCTTATAAGATAATAGGAATAAGTATAAACATGAGTAAGAATACAGGAAATAGGTACGAATAAATGGGGACAATAGGATAGGGATGGTAGGCACGATTGTGCACTTATGCATGGCCCTTACAGACCTCTTAGGAATGGGGTGAGGTCAATAGTGGATAGTTTAAGGTTAAAGGAATGGGGGTTAGAGGATGTAACAACAGAGTCAGGTAGTGCATTCCAGGCATTGACCACTCTATTGCTGAAGTCGTACTTTCTGCAATCAAGTTTGTCTTAAATTTTTGTCTTAAATTTTCTCAAAGATAGTCTTAACACAGTTTTTGAACTGTGGTAGGGTTTTGTTTTAATTTAATGAACCAATAACAGTTTGACAGTATTTTGAACTGGCACACGCAGTCAAATTTCTTTTTTTCTTTTTGTAATATATGGAATTTATAACATAGGCTGTGTATAAATTTGGAGATGATCACTAGCAGTATAATGGGCTGCAAGAAACAGTCCTGGATTTTCAATAATCAGAAACTTTGTGGGGGAAATATCCACATAAAAATTACTGAAAAGCTGATGGCATTTAGGGCTTGTTTCACTAAGAAATTCAGCTTCAGACTGTTAAGCCTGTATTTTCAGTAGTATTTATTTATCTGATCATTGAACTTGCCATCCAAGTTTCAAATGATAGGTCTGAAATCACTTACTGAGCAGTACAATTTGGATTGTGAGTTAAACCTGGATCCCAGTCCAACATTTTAATTACTACATACATGACTTTCAATCAAAGATGCACTCCCTGCCACAATATTTCTTTTGAAGAAACACAGATATGTCGGTAGATCCATAGTTTCATCTTACTATTTTATACTATTTATGCTTTTGCTTAGAGAGGTACATAACAAAACCATGATTGTTGATTAACTGTTGAACTTTCTTCCTTTCCTGGCATAATTTAGAATCCCAATGGCTTATTCTGTTTGCATGTTATTTACTGCCTACTCCAAATTGTTTGGACAAACACAGTGAAACTTTGTTCTTCTTCAGATAGTATATCTATGCATGGGGAATATTTAAAAACACATAACTGAATGCTTCTTTATGCAAAAAAAAAAAAAAAAGCCAAATCCAAACCATTATCTCCTTCCACACATACTGAACAAAAGATGTTTGACAGAATGATCCAAAATTTGCTTCCATTAAAAACCATCTGTTATATTAATGTTGTGCTCTCTGTCTCTACAAGAAGAAATATTATAAAGCAAGGCTTGCAAATCAGCTCAGTGACCAATTTAGAATCAGCCCACCACATTTTTACACATACCAAAACTCCAAACATCACTCTGGTGGGTATAAATGCGATGCAAAATTGACTCCAAAGCCATCCATTTAATTGGAACCTAGAAAGAGGTTGGAACCATTGTAAGCAGATTAGAACAATAAAGTTCATTATTTTTTAAAATATGACAGTATGTGGTAATGCTTGCAACTGGTTATAGTATACATAAGTATCATACTTATATAACTTAGAACTACTGCTCAAAATATGAAAAGTTGAAAGAAGCATTGCCAGAAAAAAATGCTCATATGTATTTTTACTAAATATAGGGGATGGAATGTGCTTTTTATGTTGTGAATTTTTAATGCTGTAAGCCACCTGCTGTCACCTATGTGTGAGTTGAGTGACAGCCATGAATTATTTATAAATAAATAGTTCTACAATTGAGAATTGTAAAACTGTTTTGATAGAGATGGTCACAGATGATGGCATATTTCTCAATTTAAAATTCCAGCATGGTTTTTGTCTTATCCTCAGGAAGAAGTAATGTCTTTCTCAGCATTCAACATGCAACTTGCCATACTCATGTTACATCTCTATTCAGTATGGTTCAATGACTTCTAGTGTGCTTCTGGGTGCAATTTTGGAGGTACTGGTTGTCACCTATAAAGCTGTTCATGGCATAGCAATTTGTGGGATGGCCACCTCTTCTTACTAGATCAAAAAGTCAGTAAAAAAATATTGTGGGACTCAGGAAGCAAGGTTTTTCTGTTTGCTGTGCCTGCCTTCTGGAACATGACTTTCCCCTGGAGAGTAGATTGGCATAAATCTTATTGACTTTTGGAAGACCCTCAAGATATGGATATGTTCATAGGCTTGGGGTTCCTAGGCTTGTTAGGGTCCATGTCATTTAATTGGTTTGGCTCCTTGGCTATTATCTATAATATTTATTTATTTGAATCCTGCCTTTATGTTGTAAGTCATTTTTTATTTGTTGAAAGCTGCCTAGAATCAGTCTCTTTGAAATGACAGGTTATGTAAACCAACCAGCAAACAAAACAAACAAGCAAACAAACAAATAAAATATAAAGTCTATATTTCTAAGCTTGACCTATTATGGATAGTTTTACACACACACACACACACACACACACACACACACTCCAGAGTCACTGAAAACTGAACTTCAGTATCTGAAAACTCAACATTGTATTAAAAAAACCAGAAGGGAGAAATAAGTTGATGCTCTTACTTTGCCTCCTTCAGCATGATACTCCTTCTCTTCTGCACCAAGTAATTTGGCCAAACCAAAGTCTGTGATCTTTACATGCTGGGGAGTCTTAACAAGGACATTTCTAGCAGCCAAATCACGGTGTACCAAACGACGTTCCTCTAAGTAATTCATTCCCTAAATGGGTTAACAGTTAAAGCATGTTACTGTACCACATAACATCTATAGCCACATTACAGAAAATATTAAGAAAATGAATTTTGTACTTACAGAATATTGAGGCAGTCACAATAAAGCAGTTGCTTTTTCAGAAGTATTGAAAAATGAGTGCATGTGCAGAGCAAGAATATTTTAATATATATTAATTAAAAACACATTCCTGGTACTCCTGGTTGTGGTTAAGCAATCTCCTGGGTTGGGCATGGAGCAAAAGATCTGCTTGTCAAATTCAGTTTCCCACAGTGTAGAGAAGAAATAACTCTAGCAAGCTACAGGAATGTATTTGAGTTCAGATACATTTCTGCAGCTTGCCAAAGCAAATACTTGAGAGTTTGAGCTCCATTTCTGCACCCTGCTGGAGGAGCTCAGTTTCCTTCCATTCATAGAAAAGGACTGTTCCAACACACTACAGGAGTGGAGCAGGGATATTCCAGATGTCTGATTCTGCTAGAGTATTTCAGCTTCCTTCTGCATGTGTAAGAGAAATGATCCGGTGAGTTTCAGAAACAGAACTCGGATCTTTGGGATCTGAATTCCATTTCTTCATTTAACCAAAGGGAATTCAGCTCCCTTTGGAGGACGCTCCTACCTCTTGGTAGGAGACAAGAGGGCATCTTCTCAGCAGGAAGCAACAGCTTGCAATCTTCCCTGCTGATTTTTTCATTGACTGGAAGAGAAGATTGCAAGTCATGATCAAATGATTGCAGGGCTTTTCGCAACTGGTCATAAGTGTGAACAGATTGCAAATACCCAGATTGTGATCATTTAACTGCAAAGGGTGAAAGTGTGACATTTTACAATGACTGGAAGTGCTACATGGGCCACAAAACACCCTCTCTAAATCTGTTGTAACTTTCAATGGACATTAAATAATTGGTTTTTAGTTGAGGACTACCTGCATTTTAAAACACATCCAAAATTGTAAGGGAACTTTTATTTTAGCATGTGGAAACTGAAAACCAAGAACTACTTGTAGGCATCAGCTAGATCAGAGTGACAAACCTAAATTTAGGTCAATGTTCTAGACATTTTTGGAAACTAGATGGAGTTTGTTGTTAATATACCTTTGCAATCTGCACACACCAGTTGAGAAGGTACTGGGATCCAATGTTATCTTTGTGTTCTCTAACATAGTCAAGAAGGCAGCCATAGGGCATAAGCTGGGTGATGAGTTGGACAGTTGATGTGAGGCAAATTCCCAGCAAACGGCACACATGGGGGTTATCAACACTTGCCATCACGTATGCTTCCTAATCAAGAGAAAGAGAAATTACCTACTCTATAAGAAATTACAATATTAGGACATAGCATCTTGTCTCAGAAGGTAAGATCTGCCCTCTCTCTTTCAGATTTCAGGAAAAACCTTAAGACCTGTGCTGTCTGGCATGGGGTTCTAAAGGAGAAGCTGCTGGATGGAGGCACTAACAGAGAAGGCACCCTACCTCTCCTCTCAAAACCCTTATTTATAATAATTGAATGTTGGTTTTATCTTGATGCAAGCCATTCAGAGTCACCTAAACTATGAGATGGGCAGGAAATAAATTTGAGAAATAAAAATAAATAAATAAGTAGTTTATAAGTTACTACAATTAATTAATCAACAGAATTAATCTGAATCATGCTAAATTATATGTGGAATGAGAATTAATCTGAAGGCTAGAATTGATACCTGTTATACTTCAACATAGGACAATTATATTTTAAATTTTTCTCTCATTTAAATGGTAATTGCATCAGGATAGAAGTCCCGTAGGAAGAAGTCAGTGTTTTTTTCTCTTCTTTAATATACATGATCTAAATAGGTACAGTATATCCACATATCCAAATGACAACTTTTAACTATGTATAATTGTAAACTGCAAATTACCATCTTTGGCTGAATACTGCAGTAAAAACAAGGTAGCTTAATTGTAGAAATGTTCAATAAAAATAAAACAAAAACCATTATCTGCTATAACAATTTAATCAGTTTATTTAAATAACAATATAATTTTTAATTAATCGTTCCAACACATATAATGATGCTTTTCTCTCCATTCACTGCAGTAATCTGCTAGGATTCCTGACAATTAATAAATAAATGTATACTACATAAAACATAAGAAAGTAATTTGCCACTAGATTTTCCAAATCTGTAAATTAGATTATAAAGATCTTAATAGGCATTGTACAAATAAAAAATGGAGAATGGGAAGGAAAACAGAAAATATATATGAAATCAACCGATATGGTCATAGACCAGAAAAGAGAAAACATATATTTTCACACTTACATTATGGCAATTGTCATTATTTAATGAAGATCATGTTAAGAGAAACCATAACAACAATTAGTCCCAATAAATAAAATTTCACATCTTCTCAAAAGTATCATAGCAAAGCTTTAAATTGGATGAAGAGGCCAACACCTAAACTAAGGATACGTCAGTTTTTTTTTTATTTCATCTGCTCTAGTTCTTTTTTCTCTGAAAGCTCAATCAAATAATATCTTAAATATAATATATGGAATCACTCATAATCATATAATTGTGCTTTTCTGTCATCAGTCTCACTTAGTCATCTAGAAAGACTCCTCCCTATTTGTTTTGCCAAGTGTATATTTTACTGAAGCTTAAATAGTTACAGAAGTAGTATAAACTGAATCTGAGATTTTCACAAATAACACTAGGAAAGTTCCCTCTTTCTCCCCTGACCATCCCCCAATTATCAAGAGCTTGTATATTGTTCAGGAAACAAGTGCTCAGTTCCTAGCTCTGCATATCATTAATGACCTTGGCTGGCTGGAGCTTCTCACATGGCTCAGTTGGGCTTCCATTCTACCCTTTCTTCACACTCCAATCCTCCCCACTCCCCCTCAATGTCTGGCGACCAGCTTATGAAGCATCTCACTATCCAAGCTTCACCTATTGTTTTTTAATAGACTATTTAAAAAATGGAATGTATTATATGCCTGGATCAAATATACTATATACTATAAATGTTTCTATAAAGATTTTTTAAATAGTTTTTTTTTAGTCTGCATGTTTTTATTCCACTGTAATAAATCTAGTATCATAAACATATCCTTCTTTGCTTCCTCTTTTACAGACCTGTATTTCATTAATTATTTTTAAATGTTTTTAACCTATTTCCATGAATTGACTGAAAATTCCAAATCTTTATAAACATTAACTTGAATTCTGCCAAACTAGAAATTTGGTCTACATGGGCTGTACTACCTATCAGCCATCAGAATGTGAAACTGTTTTAGTATGCCTATTAAATTTGATAATATAAAAAGTTTTCAACTCCTTTAAGAAAGAATGCTGAAGCCATTGTGCCAGCATGCACTTTTAAAATACTTTGAAAAAATAGACTGAAGTTTTTGTTATTATAGTTTGGAATCTCTAACTTTGCATAACTTTGCTCGTTCTGAAAAGGGACAGCATGCTGCCTACGTATGTGTTACGTTCATAATAGTAACATTTTATAATTATGAAGATAAGATAAAGGAAGGAGAACATTTCTTACGCACTACAAAGTAATTACTTGAAACAAATTAATCTTTTTTAAGCCCACCTAAATGTGCCTTTACTTTGTTTTTGTAAATTTCAATTCATCTACATAAAATTTGTCAAAAATTTACAGAGTGAAACATTAAATACTATTTGAAGTTATAACAAACCATCCCAAAAGTTATGACCTATTCAAAGTTAAAATAGCTGCAAGGGGTCACTTTGGGGCACTTAACAATTGGCACATTTTTATGGCCATTTGCAGCATCCCAGGGTCTTATGAGCACAACTGCAATATTTTTGTTGTTTTTTAGTGTTTACTCCTGGTTTCCAAAATTAATTCAATTAATGACTACCCTATTTGCAAATGGCTGATGCAAAAAATGTCAAAAAAATAGTTTTCATCATGTCATGCCTCGATTTATGACTTAGGACTGTAATTCCAGCGTCAATTATGGGCATATGTCAAGGACTACCTAAAGTCATTTGAAGATGTCTAAACACAGTCTCTCTGCCATTGATCCCATTGAGGATAAAAATCAGTTGCAAAAAATACTACAATGACAGAAATATTTTGCCTTCACCAACAATGCCTTAATGTTTATCTACATGCCATGAAGTCCCTACAGCCGATATTTTAAAACTTCAGAAAACAAAGAAAAAGAAAGCTTACATCAAGAATTTCTTTGTTAGCTTTGGGTGATGTAGCCTCTCTTAATTCCTTAATGGCTACAGGAATTTTAACTTTTTCTCCTTCTGGAATCCAGAGACCCTGTTAAAAAAATCAAAATGAGTAAACTTAAAATAAATTAAGACAATTAGGAAATAAAATAGATTATGAACAGACTTCAATACATCCATATAAATTACATGGTTTCTAGATAAATGGTATTTGATTATGACAGTAAATATAAAGATACCATATATTTTAAAATGTACAAATATTTGAGTGTGCAACAGCATGATTCTATGTACATTTACGTTGTCAATGGGAGTTAATTCCAAATAAGTTTATAAAGAACTGGTTTTTTACTTATATACAGACACAAATACACACATATTTAGAAAAGATTATAATTTACCTGATAGACAGTACCAAAAGCTCCAGAGCCAAGTACTTTTACTTTTTTTAATTCTGTTTCTTTTAAGATTCTTAGAAGTGCTTGGTTTGGTGCTTCCCCACTTGGTGTCAAAGGTTCAACAAGCTATTGAATAAAAAAGGGCATGGCTTAAGAAGAGACAATTTCTTTTTAACCATAATAGTGTACGAAGCAGGCTGGTTTTTGAAAAATGTAAAACAAATTATTCAAAATCTATTTGTGCTATATTATAAATCCATAACAAACTACTTGGCTGAGAAACAAAAGATCAGCTTCCTCATCAATAGAAATACCATCATGATCTTATTTATATTATAATAGTTCTAATTATATTAGGAACAAATATTTAGAAATATGTGGTTTCATCCCAGAGAGAAAGCTCATGATTCCTATTAAAACAAATATGGAATAACAGACAACTTAGAAAGTGTCTGAGATGCTAGTGCATTGTGAGTCCATACTAGTTAGTTCTCTTCTGAATCATTATCATCATCATTGATAATAATAATAATTTATTTATTTAATTTATATTGCTGCCTATTCGCCCATGGTGACTTGAGGCGGCTTACACAATGTAAAACATGTTTAAAACAAAAAATAACAATAACAATAAAAAACAATAAAAACTAATTAGTTATATTTACCTCTCTTTCTTGCAGCAGTCTGCGCAAAGTACGTTTTTTAGCAATCCGTCGTCTACGCACCAAAAGACCAATACCCAGGGCTATAACAACTAAGCAAAGAATGCTCCCAACAACTCCAGCTGCAATGGCTGAGAGTTTAGATCTACAAAACAGAAACAGTTATTATTGCTTCAATGTTATTGATAAAGCCAGTTCATTGTCATACGTGAGCATTTAGAGCAGGGGTGTCAAACTTGTGACCCACGGGCCAGATGCATCACATGCTGGTCCCACCCACACTCAGTTTAGCGAAGGGGGGGGAAAGTCCCAATACATCATGTGATGACACTGTGATGATGCAAGTTTGATACCACTGATTTAGAGCATTATTCTTAAAAGGAAAGGGAATAAAATATAATTTGATATGACAAAATATTCAGGCAGTGGGTTCCCCCAATGCAGTCTAAAGCAATGAAGTTGCAATGGACTGTGAGAAAACCCTTGAAGAACAGGAAGAAGGCTTGTAGCTTTGACAAAAGTCTGATAAGAGAAATCTGAGTCCAAAGCAGGAATAGGAGAAGAGAAAACACTTCAGAATTGACCCTCCTTAGCTCTCTGGAACATAATGGTACAGGAAAGAGGAAGCACTGTCAGCATGATTTTGTTGCTGTAACCATAAATAATGAAGGTAATATTAATATTATTGGTTTTAGTTTCCTGGTCTAGACTACTGAATGAAGAACATGTATGATTTGTGAAATTTAATGTCATTTCTGTAAAATTATGACTATCAAACTATAACTTGATATGCATCTTCATATTTGCCAAACATAAAAATAAAGTTATATCATCTGTATCTATCAACACAGCTACTAAGATAGGTAATTCTCTATAAATATACCAACACTTATATTTCCATGAAGGGAAACAAAAATATGCTCATCTCATATATTATTATGGAATTTTCTATAATTAGAAAATTAGTTATAATTATAAAATTAGACATTAGGAAAATTAATGTTGTACAAAACAAATATATGATTATGTGGTTAGAACCTAAGAAGCAACTCTAGCATAGTGGAAAGTTTATATCCATTAATTTATTTTTAAAATATGATCAGATTAATGATCTTTTTCCTATTGTCTAATATTTTCGTGCTATGATTTGAATACAGTGAACACATTACCTCTTCCTTATTGACCATTCATATTAAAATTTATGTAAACTGATATAAACTAATAGTGGATCTGGGTCTCTTTTCTAAAGCTACAACTAAAGAAACATACTTTGTTACAAGAATCCATTTTATTAAAAACTGCTTTGTTTTGCCACAATATTCTTGGCTTAATTGGACACAGCTATAAATGGGCATCTGATTTTACATTAGTTAACAACAATTACCCATTAGGACAGCCTTCGGGTCCAGGTCCTTTGCATCTACAAAAGCAAGGAAAATAAAAATGATTAGCAATAGAATTAAAAAGAGAGATATTTTAATTTAACATTTAACTTTTTGCCCTGTGCACATCAGTAATTATTTTGTAAGAACATGTGATTATTAATAAATAAAGTACTTTGGCAGTTATGAGGAATCTTGTACCACATGTTTTTATTCAAGGGAGGTTCTGCTTAAGCCAAAGCTCTGAATTTGGCTAACCTGTACCATCCTATCCCAAGTTGCTTTTTCAAGATGCAAATGGACAGATGAAGGCCAACTTGGGATAGCACATGTTCTGAGGACTTCCTTGATGTGTTTTATTTCTTTTTCTTTCCCATTTTTGCTGGTAGGCAGGCCTTCAGCTCAGTGATTAGGGTTCTGATAACTTTTATTTTGTGCTCCAGAGGGCGGGTCACACACAGATCAATATTTACATTTTGATTCTTTTGGTGAGAACCAAATGGGAGCACAAAATGAGAGCACAAAATGGGAGTTATCAGAACACTACAATACCAAGCTGAAGGCCTTCTTCAGCAAAGAAGTTTGATAAATGAATGAATAAATAAATAAATGAATTTATTGACTTGCTGTTACTATTTAATAAGAAACAATAATAGATATTCTGTCTTTTTTCTCTAACAACTTCACATTCAGGACCTAAGCAATTATTTAAATAATTCCGTAAGAAATGTTTAAAGTTCTATCTTTATTCTATCAATGGAAGTAGGTAGGTAAGACCAAGAAATTTTGTTTATTATCAATATTTATACAACTTTAAATTACAGTATATCCCCGGATGATTAAGAATAAACCAATTAAAACACCATCTTTTATGGTGATCATAGTGGTATACAACTCAAAATGATCTTAAGCATTATTTCACATTTCTCAATCAAATTAATTTTGTAAAAATGCTTTTTACAAACCACAAATGTAACTCTGAAACAAAGCTATGATGATGTGATTCTAAATGATTGTGTCAGATACACCATTGTGTCCCGCTGTTCTGTTGGAAAGGGAGGGAAAGGCTGGCTGGCTGCTGGCATTTTTTGCATGTTTTCTCTTTTGCTATAACTGCTTGGGAATTAGGATGGGGATTGTCTTTGGAGATGGAGCAGATTCCCTCCCAGCCGGTTCTAGCCTGGTTCCAAGGTCGTCTTGCCCTGAGAGTGACCTGTTATCTGCCTAGCACCACAGTGTTCTCAAAACATCCTTGCCGCATCACATTGGCTGCTTGGTAGACTGATTGAGGGTTGGGTTTGGGGAAACAGAAGAATTGCTTTGTGCTTTGCATGGGACCTTCAGATTCCATGTGACTTTAGTGTAACCACTTTCTATCAGTAAAAGTTCTTTCAATTCAACTCAATGGAATCAAGAGTTTTGCTTTCCTGAGGGACAAGCTGGGCCAGGTCCTTACATTACGTGAAATCTGAAGGTCCCACACAAAGCACAAAGCAATTCTTCAGTTTCCCTTGAGCTCTTCCTGCTCTGGCTGTCGCTCCCATCTCGGCCTCCACAGCTGCCTTGGGGGAGAGTTATCCTTTTGGTTCTTCCTTCCCAGTATTCTATCTTTCTGACACCTATGTACTACCTGGGTCTTGATCAGGCTCCCAGGCTCCTGATTTCCTCTCTCCATTTGAAGAGGTCCAGCAGGGGGGAAGCATCATCTTAATAAGCTCCCCCTCTGAAGTCACCTTCCCCTACAGATCTAAGCTTCCACCGCCACCTAAGCCAGTCATAAAAGAGATATTTTAGATTCCTGTAAACTTAGGGGGAACCTTCAATATTTAGTAGCTTGGAAGGATTTCGCTGAAGCCCAAATTGAATGGTTTGACTAGCACCATGTTAGGGATCCTAAATGTGTAAAGTGCTTTCATAATCAATATGCTGATAATATCCTAAATATTTTTTTTCTGTTTTAACCTTCTCTCCCTTTTTATTTTGTTTTGTTATACAGGACTAATGTGGCTGTTTAGGTGGACAGCATATCAGATATACCATTGTGTCCTGCCATTTTATTGGGGGTGGGGAAGGCTTGCTGGCATTTTTTGCATGGTTTCTCTTTTGCTGAAACCTCTTGGGAATTAGGGAGGGGGATTGTCTTTGGAGACAAAGCAGACCCTCCCAGCCAGTTACAGCCTGGTTGCAAGGCAGTCATGCCCTGTGAGTGACCTGTTACCTGCCTAGCACTTCAGCATTCTGAAAACATCATTGTGGCATCACATTGGTTGCCAGTGGACTGGTCAGGCGGGTTGGGTTTGGGGAAATGGAAGAATTGTTTGTGCTTTGTGTGGGATCTTCAGATTTCATCTGGCTTTACTGCAACCACTTTGTTGCAGTAAAAGTTGTTTTGATTCAACTCAATGGAGCCAAGAATTTTGCTTTCCTGAGGGACCAGTTTGGGACCATGCAAAAAATGCCAGCAAGCCTTCCCCACCCCCAATAGAATGGCAGGACACAATGGTATATCTGATATGCTGTCCACCTAAACAGCCACAGACTGGCTTGCTTATGCCCCAAAACAAGCAAAGTAATACTGTCTTTTAGTTCAAACTTTATTCCTGGGGATTGTGGACACATCTTTGTGTTTTGTTTTGTTTTGTTTTGGCAATAGTACCAAAGTAGTTTGCTGGTCCCCTTTCTGAAATGTTTTTTACTTTCCAGTCTAGACTACAGTCCTAGTCTATCTTCAAGCTTTCCCATTTCTGTGGCAAATCCCTATCAGTATACATATAATGATCAATGTTAAGTGTAACATTATCTCTCTCTGGCTTATTACTGGCAGCTGCAATGACAAAAAAGGAACAATTGTACTACCTAATACACTGCAGCATCATTATGACAAAGCAAACCATCAAAACTATTAACCAATGGTCATTTTATATTGGAAAATAATAGCTACACCATCATCTTGAAGAGTGATCAAATTATCCTAAGTAAAATATTCTATATATTGAATTATGAATTAATCTTTGTAAATTGAATTACTTTAATAATCTCTGCATTCCAAGTTTTCCATCAGTTTATTCAATCATATTTCATTAAGGATCACTCTTATAACTACAACTTTAGAACATGAACCTATTTTGTGTTATCTTATGTGATTACATTGCTTTTAAAATATGGCAATACATTTAATTACATCAAGATGTTTTACATTCATGATATCCTAACCACATGACTGTCACTTTTGAAGAAATAATTTCTATGTGTGTGGCATGTTTATACGTGTAGGGTCCAAATCTGTATAACATTCCTAGAGAATATTCCTAGCAGCACATTGTTCTGATAACCAGGATCCTTGTGATTATGTCTACTTAGATCATGTATGGTTAATGTTCACACACACACAAAAATCCTATATGACTAGTGTAATGTTTCAAGGAAGTCATGTTTGTTTTCACATAAGGATTTCTCAATAATAATACATTGTTGGGTATATGTTGGCAGGACTATTATTTACACTGACCAAGAATTCACTCAGTTTAAAACATACTTGATATCAAAGAGGATATAGCTTACCCTACTTTTCGGTGTATAAGATGAACTCTCCCCCAAGTGGGTAGAAATTTCTGTGCGTCTTACACAGTGAATGTTGCCAAAGTCCAGGCCACCCACAGCCCTCTACCCTTTGGCCTGTGTCTCCTAGCAATTTGCCTCCTTGCAGCAAGCCAGATCAACTTCAGGACAGCCTGATTTAGCACAAGCAGCTGATTGCCTCCTGACAATCAGCTCTTTCAGCCTGCAAGGATCGCTATTGCCTATTGCCACTTTTGTGAGCCCAATTTTTGACCTCCACATCCCATTTTCGGCCTCTGTGCACCCTGTTTTTGCCTTTCACATGCCTCATTTTTGGCTCGTTCTGATCCCTCCCACCTGGGGCACGTGGAGGCCAAAAACAGGGTGCGCAGAGGCCAAAAATGGGATGTAGAGGCCAAAAATGGGGTACACAGAGGTGGCAATAGATGATGGCAATCCCTGCAGCCTGAAACAGCTGATCGTCGGAAGGTAATCCAACCGACAATCAGCTGCTTGTGCTAAATCAAGCTGTGTTGAAGCTGATCAGACTGTTTGCTTCAAGGAGGCAAATTGCTGGGAGGCAGAGGCAGCATCTTATAGTCTGAAAAATATAGTATGTGATTTTATAACTGACCTATAACTTGCTGTTTTATTCTGGATGAAATGTGGTAATCAGTATATTATAAATGATAAATTCAGCACATGTGGCTATGATATATTTCATTTTATATACTTGTCTGCTCCTTCAAAATATCACAGTTCCATAAAACAGTATCTATGGAATGCTGTACAACTTTAATAAAACAAATCATGCAGAGTTCACTAAATCTGAACATATGCTTTTGTACCAATTTGTTATTCCACAATTGAAATCAGTGGCACCATTTACCATAAAACTTTAATTTAATGGACATTTATCCACTAAATGTGAATGAATAATTTGTCCCTTGTATTTGAAATCCACTAAGTCAAGGTTGATTAAACTGAGAGTTTACAGTAGCTTAAATGACATTTAAGGAAAAACTAGGATTTTTTCTTGTGGAATACTGTCATTACTGATACCAAATTAGAATTACCAGTATAAAATCAATAGGATTTAATCCCTGTAGACTGGCTGTGGGCTAGTTGAGGAACGAGCACCATCCATGGCGAAGGCTTCCCTTTGGGTGACCCTCCTCCTCTTCCTTTCCCCTTCCTTCTCTTGCAATCCCCTGGATGCCTGTGGTGGGCCTGGGAGAGCGCACACATGTGGAGAGACCCTCCTTATGTGAGTGGCTGCCCACCCCGCACATGCCTTTGCTACACTTTGGGAGACCCCAGACACTCGCTTGAGTTTCTCCCCGTGTGTGCACACCCTCCTGGCCCCACTACAGCCAGTCAGGGGGTCACCCAAAGGGAAGACTCTGCTGTGGCTGGTGCTCGTTCCTCAGTCAGCCAGGATTTCCCCCCCCAAAAAAAGAAATAAAAGGAGTAGTGAAGAGCCCCAAGGAGAGCTTGCTGGCTTGGCCCAGCCTCAGCTTTATGAGAGAGAGGGGGGGAGAGAGACACACACACACAGAGAGAGACAGAAGCAGACAGATACACAGAGAGAGAGAGACAGACATAGAGAGTGGGGGGAAACAGGATGATGGGTGAGCATCTTTGGTGAGGCTGTTCTGGCTTTCTCCGAGCCTGACCCCCGGGGTGGGTGGGTGAGGTTCGGTGGGGCCAGCCCCCTTTTCCTGCTGCCCTGAGCTTCTTAAAGCCATGGCTGGGCACTGCAGGCCCATTCCCCTTTCCGATGTCCCCTCCTCCTGGATCCCATTCTCATCCTGCCAGGCCTCGTGTTAGCGAGGCCAGCATCGGTCGCAGCCAGGTTGGGCCAGTGTCTCGGGGCGAGAGCAGGTTGTCCATCTCCCCAAGTGACAGAGGCAGACCCAGCACCAACAAGGGCCAGAAGAAGCTCCAGCAAGAGTGAGGCACCAGAGAATCAGCCCTGGCTGCTTCTCCATCTCCCATCGTCACCCTTATCTTCTCAGGCCAGGTGAGGGAGGGGAGGGTGAGGGTCAGGACCAGCCAGTGATGGGACAGGGAACTGAGCAGAGGGCGTAAAGAGCCACATACAGCTCCAGAGCCATGGGTTGCCAACACCAGTTATAGGCCTTTATAAAATGAAGAACTTAAATAGCTAAAGAGAATAATCACAATATCTTATGGACTTCTAAAAAGTATCAGTATAGCTATGAGAAGAAGGCTTAAATCAGAAGAGAATGGCAATATTGGGCAACATTACAATAATGCTTTTACTCATGTATTGATTAAATTTCCTCATTAAAGTTGATATTTGTTCTCTGGAATAAAACTAAAAATATTTTAAACCATAAAAATATAAAGAGATAAATTATAGGATCAGTTGTATTTATGTTTGATTGTGCATTGATTAAGTTAAGGTTCCATTTTGTTCATAAATTGAATTTTTTTACAAATTGTAATTTTATGTTATCCTTTCCATTAAGTTTCAATTTTAAAAAAAATCACTTACCCACGAACACAATTCGGATGGCATAACTGACATACTAAATTTTCATCTGGATATTTCCAGACTAAGGTATCATTTTCTCCCAAAATGCCAGCAGGACATGATTTAACACAATGTGGACCATCTTTTACATGAGCACACTTCAGGCAGTTGCCAGGACCCTGGAAAACAAGCACAGCATTTTTTGTGGATATGAAATACATTTGCGTGTACATTAATAAATAAGTGATCGGGCTTTGTCACATGTGTGAAACTTCAAGAATTGACAAAAAAATCTTGCAGGGTGACAATGATGGATTTTAAAATCTGAAATATCTGCAGGTCAGAAGATAAAATGTATATATCTTTTATTATTTCAGTATCATAATGATTTTTGAAAAACAATTATTTTCAAAAATTCTATTATTATTTTTATTTTTCTACACCTTATGCTAAATATTTTGTACTAGAGATTTTAAAGAAAATACTATACTTTATTTTGTACAAAAAACCAGGGCCATCTGCTTCATCTAATTACAATTATAAAGATAATTCAGGCTGATATTTTTCTAATGGGCTAATCAAGACATTTAAATATTTAATGTCTTCTCTCCCTTCCAAGAAAAATGAATCAAATCCAATTTGCTTGATACCCTTCCTGATTAGTTGCAATGAAAAATAGACACAAAGTGCTTAGATGAATTATTTGTAAATAAAACAGTGATTGCAGATCTCCAACTATGCCCTACTCTACCTTTTCAATTTCTCAAAAGAATATAAAGGAAAAAGAAGGAATTTATTCATGCTTAACATTTTGTAGCAGCATCTAAAAGTGATTAGAAATATATTAGGGAATGTTTTCATGATGCTAGAAATTACAAGTGAATAGTTATTATTAGCATTATAATACTGAGGGACATCTGAATACTGAGTACAATTTTCTACAATTTCAGTACTATAAATAAACATACAAAATATTTGATTTTGTGCCAATCTGAAGTTTACAATATAAGTTAATTTCCTCATAATCTTACCAATTTCCCAAAAACTTTTTGATTTGAGGTTAGAGGTTCATTCTCTAAGCTTGTGGTTTGGTTTCTGAATGTTTCATTACCAGACTATGTATCATCTTCAGTGGAATATAGGGAACATCAGTGTTGATGTTTTTCTGTTAATAAGGACTTTGTGTGGTCAGTAGGGGTTGTGATGAGAGAGTCACACCAAGTAAGGGTCTTGTGATGGGTAGATCACATCAGGTGAGGGTGATTGGGAGGTGAAATGCTGTTTGGGGGGTTGTGTGGATTGGCTGAAGGTTGGTGTTGTTGCTTGTTGGTTGTGTGGCTGATTTTAATTCTCAAGCGTTCATAGGCTGGTTGTAGGTCCATGTGTTGATGGAATTGCTTGTGGAGTGCTTGGCTTCAATAAACTCACAAACATGGCAGGTAATAGTGTGGCTGATGATTCTTGTATAGCTCCAATTGAATTGGTGCATTTGATGTCAGTGTGGATATCAAATAGGGATTTGGGAACACATCAATTGACTGTCAGCTGGTGTTTATGGTTTTCAATTGACATGTTTATCCCACATAGAATTGTTTGCAATTGTTAAAGTTGATTTTGTAAATTATATCGTTTCTTTCATCCTTGTGCAACTTGTCTTTGTTTCTGGATAATTACTGGTGGAGTATGGCTGTGGGTTTGTGGGCTATTGTTATTCCTAGAGGTTGGAAAATTCTGATCATCATTTCTGACACCCCTTTTGTGTATGGCAGGATGTTTTTGTGGGATGGTTGGCTCTGTGGTGTGTTGTAGTTTGGGGCTGTGTTTCAGAATACAAAATCCATAGTGTATGCTTTTGGGGGTTGTTTGTTTGCAGAGAAATTTGTGGAAGAAGTGTAGCTGTTCGCATATTGGCAATCATCTCACAGCGAAACTCCCAGTGGCGGGAAAGTCTGAGCTCTGCACGCCCATGTACATTTGCAATAATGGAAAATATCTGTAGCTTGTGTGTAGGATGAGGGTGAAGGTTTATTCCTTGAGTTTTTGGGTTGGTTTTTGAATGTTTCATTACCAGGCTAGGTAACATCTTCAGCAGATGTTACCTTTTTTACCATGTCCCTTTTAATTTTCCCCTCCAATGTTACCTGAGGAAAATATCTCTACTGGGAAAAATGCCCTTCCCCAGTAGGTGACACCCTTGCCTCATGGCAATCTGAGTTTATTCTTTTTCATTTCAGAATGCAGCTTGTGTGCAAATTCCATGCACTTTGCAGCAAGCATGATATTTGGCTGAAACCAAATGAGCAGAGACATCATTGGTTGTAAAACTCTTCAAAATATTTTTCAGCAGTTTTGTATGCATTGTCCAGAATAACTTCTCTGCTCCATTCTGCATTAACCAAATTTCCTTCTTTTTTCTGATCTCCCTGAAAAACATGTTATTTGA